AATATTTGTCCTTTTGTGATTGACTTATTTCACTCAGCATAATGTCCTCCAAGTTCATCCATGTTATGCGGCTGTGTGGTCTTTTTGCCTGTTCCACCATCTTACTAGAACTCCCCAGTTATTTATTTTTGCGATCTATCTATGTATGTTGTAGTTGTTATATGCCGTCGAGTCGGACCCGACTCATAGCAACCCCTCCTTGGGTTTCCGATGCCATATCACTACTGAAGTAGATTGCCCCATCTTCTTTCTGAGGAGTGGCTGGTGGGTTTGAAGCACCACCCTTCTGGTTAGCAGTCAAGTGCCTTAGGCACTATGCTACCAGAGCTCCTTATCTATGTATAGTCAGTTTATTTATGTACTTCCTTATGTTAACTGTCAAGAACAGTTTTTGGAAAAAACGTTCCTAGTGTATTCATTTTTTAAAAAAAGAATCCCATTAGCCATTGTGGATGGAGCATTAACTGGCTGCCTTGCTACATGATCGAGAAGTACAGAAAGCAGCCTATGTTAAGGACTTTGAATACCTTCCTCCTTTGCTGCTTTTCCCAAAGAGACTTAAACCACTTACATGAGTAAGTGTAGTTATGTTCATTTGAGGTACGGGTGTGTGATTTTTCGCACGTTTCATTGTTGGCATTGTAATAAAAAGTCTGAATCTGTAAAGAATGACTGTAACATATTGATTTCAAATTCTGAAGATATTCTGAAGTGGAATAGTCTTTAAATTATGTAAGGAAGTTCTGTAAGCTCATTATAGCTGTTATAACTAATTTTGGGAAATTAGAAAACCAAGGATTTATTGTAAAACCTTTGATTAAATTCTTCTCTGTTCTTCCTTGTTTAATCACCAAATCCTGTTGCTTCTACCATAGATATGGATCTTCCATTTGGCTTCTTTGCTCTTTTCCTGAGGTCCCTCATCATCTTAGTTTAGGTAACCCCTACCTCATATTTCACCTTAACCAGGTTTTCAGCCTTCTGATTTTCCTCTTAAATGGTGTCCCTTAAAAAGTTTTTTTTTTCCCCATGCCTAGCCCCTAAACTTTTGTATCTTCCTAAAAATATGTGTTTGTTATTTCCTGCTTTAAAAACTGAAGCTTGACTCCCATTGCTAACAAAATACAGGCCAGACTCTCTCCTTAGATCACAGAAGGTGCTTTCAGAGTGTGATTACCCACTTGCAATTTTTCTTTCCTTTTCACTCCTTTAGACTTCTTCTCCGTAACTCCCTGTGTTCCAGCAGCAGTAAATTTGACATTCCTTGAACATGCTATGCCTTTTGTCATTTGGTGGATGGGGTGGAGCGGACAGAGAGAAGGAGAAGGAAGTCTATATAAATATATTTATTTTGGCACTTTTTCTTACCTGCATTGGAAACAAGTGCAGGAGCAAGACAAGACAGTCTGCTTCCATAAAGATTTACAGAGTTGGAAACCTTGTGGGGATTGCTGTGAGTCAGAATTGACCCAGTGGCAATGGGTTCAGGTTTTTTTCAATTTCATAATATAGGTCTTAAATTGTGATTTGGGTGAAAGGGGTTTTGGTTTTGGTTTTGGAAACAACTATTGTCCATCTTGTTTTATAGGAATTATTACTGTTACTGATAGTGTGGCAATCGGAATTCCATTGAATTACATGTTTAGATGCAATAGTTTATCAACTTTAAAAAAGAATGATGTTATTCAGCAGTATTGGGCTGTTCTTGTACAAGCTTTTGTCCAAAATGGCACAGTGAGCACAAAAGGTGAGTACTTAAAAGTATATATTGCTGTATCTGAGTCTTAATTTTGGATTACAATATACCATCTAGCTTTATCTGAAGGTATAACTGGAAAACGTTCATATATTAAGGCTTATCCATAATTTGGAGACTATGAAGTCTGGTTTTTATTGTCGACTATAAAGTTTTTAATAAATAATAGCAATTCTTATTTTTGTGGAACTTGCAATTCTAAGTTTATGGTGTCTTTCAGAACCTCTACCTTTAGCATTTCAGCAGATAAAACTTAATTTTTGAACAGATCCTCAAACGGCTTGTTTGTCAAGTTTTTGGCAGTTCTAAGGCCAAGGTTTAGAAATTAGATTTCTGTTATAGTCTTTGATTTTGAAACTTTTATAGACTATATGGAGTCTCTGGGTGGTGCAACTGGTAACTCACTCAGGTCCTAACTGAAAACGTGGCAGTTCACGTGCATCCAGAGCCCCTTCAGAAGGAAGGCCTAGTGTTCTCCTTCCAAAATCTCATGGCTGTTGAAAACTCCATGGAGCTCAGCTCTGCTGTGACACACAGAAGGGTGCTGTGAGTTGGAATCGACTTGATGGCAACTGCTTCATTTTGTTTTTGGTTTATAAGACTTTATGGAAATGTAGTAATTTCTCATTCACCAGTTCCAGAAAACTACCAACACTTTCTACAAAAAATTGAAATACCTGTGATTTACTGTAATGCAACACAGTGCACTGCCATCGGTGGAGTCAGATCTGACTCATTGCATCCCCTCCTTGAGTTTCCCAGGGTTATCACTTCGGAAGTAGATTGCCCAACCTTCCCTCAGAGGAGTGGCTGGGGGGTTTGAACCACCAGCCTTCTGGTTATCAGTCAAATAATGCCTTATGCATTTTGCCACCTGATAACATAAAAAGTTCATTTGCATTTAAATCCTTTTGTGATTTCTAAACTTTTCTCTGGTAGTGATTGTATATAGGTTGGATTGCAATATTTTCAAACTTAAATCTCTGAATTTCATGTCAGAAGCAGGTGAAATTCTTTGGGAATAGGGGAATTAAGGGTCTGAAAAGACAGGTGTGCAGCCTTGGGTGAGTAGATTGGGCATTTCTGTGTGTCTTGAGCTTGCTACTATATCTTTCTCTTAGAGTTGGTCTGCTTATGAAACAGCAGTTTGAGCACTTCTGCTTCATTTTGTTTAAGACGTGAACAAAGTTTACCCTTCCCCTAATACAACCCTTTTGGATTTCTGTTGTGAGAAATATATTGTTCTTCCTTGGCCTTAAGGTTTAAGGAAAATGTCCATTTTAGTTTATTTTGTCCTTTTTATTTTGGTTTGTTTTAGAGTTTTTGTGTGATAAAGACAAAATTTCAACAACCGTACCACCCATCATTCACACCACCGTGCCGTCTCCTACTGTAACACCTTCTCCAAAGGGAAGGCCAGAGGTTGGAACCTATTTTGTTAATAATGTCAACGGTACTTGTCTTCTGGCTACCATGGGCCTTCAGCTCAACATTACTCAGGATAAGGTATAGTCTTATTTTTATCGATACATTCTTTGTGTGTTTCCTTTCAGATGTAATGTATTCATTCTGCCTTCAGAGTAATCATTATTAGACTGATTCCATTTTAAATGGATATTTGATGTTGGGTTGTTGAGTTTGATCAGTTTCAATTTTCTGTAACCAGGAGTGTTACTGTAGCTTTAAAGAAGTTTTCTTGACCAGGAGAAAACTTGCAGCTTAAAGAACTCTTTAGAGTTTAGAGTGTATTTGGTGGTGCAGTGGTTAAGGCATTCAGATGCTAACCAAAAGATTAGCAGTCTGAACCCACCAGCTGCTCCATGGGAAAAAGATGAGGCAGTTTGTTCCCATAAAGATTTATGGCAATCCCTCTAAGGGCAGTTATATTCTGTCCTATATGTTGTTATGAGTTGGAATTGACTTGACAGCAGTGAGTGCATTTAGATCAGAATACATGTATCTGTCTCTGAGGTCATTTTCTCTTGCAATAACAGAATGCCACACAAAAGGATATTAGCCATGAATGTGGGGTTCCCTTAAAAAGCCATCTACATTGAATACTGTTAGTTAGATAGGTGGAGATAAGTATTGATTTGGGTGAAGAGAAGGGCAATGTACCAAATGTGAGTGATCAACATGGTGGCATTGGGGAAGAAGATGACACAGAGAGGTACATGGGAGGTACAGACAACAAAGATGAACCCTTTTGCACATACAGTACTGCAATGTCAGTGAAGGCAAACATGGGTATACAAGTGGATAGATGGACGGACAGGCTGAACTATTAGGTAGGTCCGTGAAGTGGGGAGTGTACCCAAGACCATGTATGGGGTTGGCAGATAGTGGTCCTATAAGTGTATTTGTATGATCTATAGGAATTCCCGGGTGTATAGCAGAGCTGACAAAGGGACGAGGTTGTAGTCACTTCTCTGTCACAGCCAGCTACCCAGAGGGACTGAGTAGTTGAACCTGCGGGCTTGGGACCATAGTCGCAGGGGTAATCAAGCTCAACTGGCATAACATACTATACAAAACATTGTTCCACCTCCTACTTTGGCGAGTAGTGACTGAGATCTTAAAAGTTTGCAAGCAGCCATCTAGATGCAATGATGGGTCTCTCCTCATCCAGAGCAAAGAAGAATGAAGAAAACCAAAGATTCATGGAAACAATTAG